ATATATATATATATATATATATATATACAAATCTCTATGCCTTTAATAATTCTCATCGGTCAATACTTCTGTGCCGCCAAGAATCAGCTACTATTCAGTTATATACTTGATGGTTATAGATAGAAACTGTGATTCTTGAAAGAAAATATGTCCAATACGTCCCGTTGCCCATAACTATTGTTAGTTTTAATGCCTTCTTCAGTAATCATCACTTACTAAGTAACATGCGCATTTCTATATTTCTATACACGTTCATAAAACCATGTAGCTCTCGTTTCCTCGTTCACATCATTTTCTGCTCACTATTTGAAGTAAATAAAGATTACTGCAAGTGTGTTCCTCGAACATGACCGTGAGACGTCTTCCTAGTTTATTGCTTCACTAATGAGAGAAAAAGCTTTGCCATATAAAGCAAACTTTATAAGAAAGACGTAAATCCCAAATTATTATTTATTTTATAACTAAGTTCCTGTAAGATTGTACAGCGCTGTTAGATTCTAGAGTTTACATAAGTTCATTTGAGAGGAAGCGTCCGAACGTCATGGAAACCTTTGTTACTATTAGTGAGAAAAAGAATTGAACCTTTCAGTTTGCTGCTGCATATCCTACACCAACTCCTCTTTGTTATCTGAAAAATAAAGTAATTTCACGCTACTCTGTTAGACGCGATTATAACATTTCGCTGTATTACTAGCAATTGTTTTCATATGAGTGGCAGATATTTTCATTGCAGTATTACAGTAGACATCACTATACTCAGAAATTATATGTTAAGATTTTACTGTTTATGACTATTCTTTGTGCGTTCTTTGTGGAGACAGCACAACAATGATAACAGTTCTCAAAAATATTCAAATATTTGAAACAGAAAGTTGTTCTTATCGATTAAATCAAGGAAGTAATGATTAGCGTTACTTTTTGCTTGTAACAAGGTAAACAATGTATAAAAATGAATAAATGCAGAGAGTGAAGATGGAATGTCCTAGTTTTGTTAGAATTTTGTATATACATTAGTGTATCTGTATGTTTGATCCGTAGGTATTGTGTCTTCAAGTATTCATTAATTTTATAAGATGCCTCAGAGAACGGTTTAATTTTTATGACGATCTTTTCAGCTTGTAGCTGTGATTTCATAGCTATGAAAATTAAAGTGTTTAAAATTCTGAAGGAAAAGATTGTTCTGAGAAAGCTCAGTACATTACAATTTTCGTCCTATAAACGAAACTGGCTTCAAATTTTCTACTCTCTTTGCACATAATGAATCGTTTTAAGCCAATTTAAAAGTTATATACATTTATCGTGGTTCACTCAGCCACAGTTCTATCCAGACTTCATTTCGGCCCATAAAAATAAACTTTAAAAACTGACCAGTTTATGGGAGTCGAAATTAGGATGGGTGGTTTACAAATGATAGGATGAATTGGGAATGTCTCTTTTTAAACGGTATATTTTAAGGTGATTTTGCTATGATATTCATTTCAAGTTCTTTCGTCATTTATATAAATAAATTTGATTTTTCGTGCATAGCTTCATGATCCTTTGGATTTTTTTAATAAAAAGCATGTGCTTATTTAGAATTTTCTAAAAAAAAGTACAGCTTTTTACAGTGCAATATTTCTCTCTGCTAATATCATTATCTGACTAATTCGATCATTATTATTGGATATCCTACATTGTATCAGTAATGTTAAATTTTTCATGTGAAGTTATATTAGTGAAGCACAAGGATTCCAACTGTGCATTTCAGTGTACTGGGGATTGAATACTAGCCCTTCTGTACTCAATGATTCCCTATAATTTTTGAAAATTTTTAAGGAAACCGGAAAAATCTTTCAATTTTATAATTGTTTATGTGGCAGCATTTTTCAGGATGATATTGAAAGATCTAGAAACAGTCGATAAGCAGCTTAAAAAAGAACCTGACGAGCAGAATGTGACTTCTGTGGTTATTCAGCCACCTACACAACCAGGTTGTTGATTTTTTTTTAATTGGAAAAACTCAGTATGGCAGGGAAGTATACTATTGCCGGACTTACTATTTAAAAAGTGTGACATAATTTTTTTAGTTAGTAAATTGCTTGTTGTACTTTTTGCGAAGTTTTTAGAGACGTATACAGTTGATTTTTTTCTTGTTCAGCCTGCTATAATTTTGTTTAGACTAATGCGGATTCAGTAGTATCAGTTTACTGATGCATAATTCTAAGTTTAGTTGTTTGTATTGTTGAAATTTATGTCTAATTTTTTTGCACAAGAATTACTGTCTTTTGTTGCTTACGCATTGCTTTTGAAAAATCTCTTTTTGTTCATAAAAACATTCAATTTTTTACCAATTGTTGAGAGACTGCAATAGAATTTCTCTAAGATTATAGTGGATGCAGTTGGATCACAAATGTCGTTGAGGCAGAATCCGAATTCTCAGTTGCCGGAACAACAACCAATATCCTCTCGTCTTGAACAAGTCCATTATATTACACCGTCTGGTATGTTTTTATGTCCTATTATTTGCTAGATTCTGTTCCTTTAGTTAGGTGGCACTTGTTAGAAACTGTAGCAGTAAATGTTCTGAAATCTAACCTTATTTTATTGCTAACATTGCAGCAGAATAGTTGTATAGAATGGAAACTCTGAATAGCGAGTGCTTTTAAAGTCTTGAACAAGCTGAAAATAGACCGAGCTAAAGTGAAGAAGATTCGACTTTTGTATTCATTATTAGGCTTTAAAAAGAAGCGAGTTTGATGGTTAGCATTCTGTTTTTCACATATCAACAACTTAAATGGTACCAGCATCCTTATGGCACTGCTTAGTTTTTTGATTTCAGTGGTTGCTGAATGATGTGTTACTGGTGTCAGGAAGTATTCTTTCCTGTGAAAAGTCGCCGATCAGGGAAGTATTTTGTTAGTCATTTATAACTGTAATAGATCAACACTTTTTAGGCTTAAGTCGTTTGCACGCTACAAACGGTAACCTGACGCTTAATGCGGCAGCCCTAAGCAGCATGCACAATGTGGGAGCTGCAAGTATGATTGGTCAATATTCGCCTGTCGCTACTGTTGCTGCAGCTGCAGCAGCTGTCGCAACACGAGCTACTGGTACATCTAAAAATGCACAGGTTGAAGTTCTATCCTAATTCTGAAAATTTTAGTAATCATTCATAATTGCATTAATATTGATGATCATGTAAAGAAAACAAAAAAAATAAAATAACAGCAATGCTACTTTTCACATTTAAGAAAGCACATACTTTTTTAATTCTGCTTTAGTTTTAAGTTACTTCGTTCATTACAGGAATTAAGTCAAATAGCTGGATCATCATCTGGACCAGTTCCTGGAATGCTACCTGTGAATGCTGATGTTTTGGGTCTTAAAACGATGAGCACAGGAAATGATAATCAACAGTATGTCCCATCAAATCAAGCAGTTAATCAGGGTATCAGTTCTTTCTCTTATTAACTAATTTTGACAAGCTTCAAATTTAAGTTCTTCATTACAACAAATGTTATTGATATTGTACATTTAAGTAATTGTACAGATTGGCAATCCACAGTGATGTCCGGTTATACATCATCACCATCACCACTAAGTATGGCTGGTGGTAGTCGCACGGCAACTGAAAGCGATGACAGTACACGGAAGAGGCAAGTGCGACTCTTGAAAAATAGGTGATGATTTTTTACAGTTAATTTTGTAACAGTTGCAGATTTTTTCGTCTCTTTCAACTTAAAGCAGAATATTTAACGGGGATATTACGTATTATATTATTCTATCACTTCATAATGTTTCAATCAGCTGATTCCTGTCTTAAGAGAGTTTACTTACAAATTGGCTTTCGATTTTGTTACTAATAAAAGTGCTTTGGTCAGTCCAATAATCTCATTAAATTATTAGTGATAAAAGCTGTAAATCTTTCTGACCATATTTTTTTGTGGTTGATTAAGTTGTAGATATGAAATCAAAAGGTAAACATGACAGATGCATCCTTTGTTGCAGGGAAGCTGCAAAAGAATGCAGGCGGAAGAAAAAGGAGTACGTGAAATGCTTAGAAAACCGTGTTGCTGTGTTGGAAAATCAAAACAAAGCACTAATCGAAGAACTCAAAACATTAAAAGAATTATATTGCAGGAAAGAAAAAACTGAATTATAAAAGTGCTTATATGCAGAGGGAAAGTTTTGTGAAATAGTTCTGCTTTTTGAACAGTACTCAGTTTCTGCTTATTTCGGCAATTTTCTCTCATACATTGCCAAGTCAGTACTTCTTTTAATGACTAAATAAAAATATCGATAGGAAATTTTTTAAGTTTAAAATTGTGCATAATTTTTTCTATTAAAAAGTAAGAAAGGAGAAAATAAGTTTTTTTGATGGATCTCGAAAGCATATTTTTGAAAAGTACCCTAGAAATAGGAACTAATTACCGCTGTGTTTGTGAGGGATGTGTAAAAAAATTTATCGAACTAACTATCAAGTATTTAGTAAGATATTTGATGGTGGAGAGAAATTAAAAAGAATCGGTATGAAGTTTTAACAAAGTATACTCTCGTCTTATATATTTATATTTACAATTTTTTAAATCAATTTGCAAAAGTGTTTTATTCTTATTTTTAACACTCTTTTTCATTAACTAACTAATTCGAAATAACTATTAGTACTAGAAAAGCTTATCAGGCATGGATATGTAAATGCAATCATAGTTTAGGATCTTAAAGTTTATTTCCGAATTGTGGTACACAAGTGTTTTTAACGAAGAATTTATGCTGTTAAAATTTTATTGCCTGATTTTTACCTTTCCCACAATTATTGATGGAACACTTTACATACAAACTACTTTACTTTCAACTTATTTAAGGAATTGTCAGTTTCTGCTTCACGTAAGAATGCCCATGGTTTTTTTGATCTTTAGAAACATTTTTTATTTGCTGTAATCTTTCTTGACTATCTTTAAGAATATAAATTTAATGTTATATGGTTTTATTTCTTAAACAGTATTAAACCATTTGGTACCAATATTTACAATGCTTCTGATTTTTTGCAGTAATGATTAGATTCAGCAATGGTGATTTCCATTGCTTTAAACTTTTATCTTGGTTTTATCCTAATGTATGGTAACTCTAATGTTTTGCATCATCTCGGGAATTATTTTTTGGTGTAATACGATTACACGCTAATGAAGGTGTCACATAGTCATTTATGTAAGCTTTTTATAGTACTGATGTCAGAACGCTGGTTCTTCTCAACTCACATCTTCATTGCATATCTCAGAACTGTTTTACTTGTTACTTTATTATAGCATTAGTTGTTTACTAATAAGCTTTTTAAACATTTGTTAACGGCTTTGATAAGAAGGATGTGAATAACAAATATTGCCGAAAAAAAATACATATATTTTCATTCAGACCCTGTTTGTATTTTAATCTTCATTCCGAGTTTCTCTATAAATGAAACTGCCAGAAATTGAGGAATGTTTTTAAAAATTTGGCCTGCAAAAAAATTTGTTAACTTGAAAGGCAAAGTTTTGGGGAAGAAAGATTGCAAGTGTTTTTACTGATGCTTTATCCTTTTAACAAAAGACTGGCCGGAATTGTCTTATCAAAAGTGATTGCTTAATGGGATTTACTAAATACTGAATCTTAGCAGTGACTTTAGCCTTTTATTAAAATGATATCAAAGCCGACCTTATAACACGAGGAGGAACTGAGTCACAAGTGTAGTTTTCCAAACGTTTAAATTTGCTTATGAAATAGAAAACAGCACTATACTAAGTACTAGAAGTTCTTTTGTATTCTACTTTACTACTTATATCTTACAGTGTTGGTTGTTTTTCATATAGAATACAAGTTCATATTTTCCTTTTATTTATCCCATTTGCTTTGTTTAGCATATTTGAATATTATATTAGTCATATTTTGCATCTTTTTGTAGTTAAATTTGTTATAATTTAGATACGAGAATAGCTAAGGAAGTAAAGGAATTTGTATTTTATCATCGTAATGGAAAATAATAATTGTATTTACTTGCGATTATTGCTTTTTTCTTTAATGAATTATTTCGTGCTCGAGTAATGTATGGTCTAGTTAACTTGATTAGTCCTTCAAAGTTTATCTGGTAGCATGAAGATTTTATGCTTAAATATCAATAAGATTTGTGATCACTTGTCATCTTGTCAATGTTTTGACATGTGTATTTTGTACAGATACGTTTATGGAACACATTTGCTTAGCAGATATAGATGAAACATAGCAAAAAAAAACCCACTTAAATAGATTAGATCACCAAGCTGTTGCTTTAGTATAAAAATCATGATGCCAAAATTAAGATTATGTGGTCTGTAGTAAGAGCGACTTTAAGTCAGAGCAACTCTGAAATACAAGATAGTATGTCATAATTTTTAACAAGGCTGTAAACTTCTAAATGCAAAAATATACATGTAATTGACTGAACCTCTCCTTCAATTATTCTATGAGTGCAAAGAATTGCAGTTAAAAATGTAGAAATCCAAATAATTCTTGCACAAGTTCTCTAAATTTATGTCTGCTTTGCTAATAGTGATTAAAAAATAGTTGTTTGTTTATAGAACGAAATTGAAATGCTATACTTTTAGGGCGATTTGTGTGTATATGTGTATGTGCTTTTGCTACTGCTTGCATTTTGTGCATCCTTAAGATTTTCTGTTTTCCAAAATGTAAAACACTCATGGAGGAGTCAAAATAAAAGTTTCATTCGTAATTACAGTTCCTTGTTGTGTATTGCCTTCAGATTTACTTTGATCTTAAATGTTGCGGTCAGTATTCTTATATTTTTCTCCAGACTCAATTTTATTTTGTTCAGTATCGAAGACAGTTGTTATTATAAGAGAATGTTAATGTCATGTATTTAAAAGATCAAAAGTATTGGGCAATTGTGTTCATTTATTAGGTAAAAATCATTAATAGACGTTATAGATTCTGAGTTAAGTTGAATAGTTTTGATCAGCTGTTGATGGGATAAGTATTGTTGAATGCAGTCTAGAAATTGTGTTGCATTGGGTTTTGCAATCGAATTTTAAATTCTGGTCTTTTAAGTTTCTGACATCTCGCAGAAGAGTAGACTACACTTTCCCTAAAACAGTGCTCACTTAGTGTTTTTGGATTTCTTTCGGCGTCTCTCTCTGCTTTTGAATTTTAGTCTTTAGTAGCGTTAAAGTCGAATTACTACCTGCACTGTTTTTTTCAGTTAATTCGCTATGACCGATTCAAAGTATTTCACAACTACTAAGAAAGGTTAGTTTTTGTTCTCACAAGTGCAGTGCAATGCGTATTTTATGACCGTGGAATTATTTTGTAATAATAGAAATATCTTAAAGTTTGTTGTGAAGTCATTTTCAAATGAAGATCTGGTTGGACTGTTTTATTTTATAGGTGAAATATTTGAATTAAAAAATGAATTGAATTCTGATAAAAAGGAAAAGAAGCGGGAAGCTGTCAAAAAAGTCATCGCAAGTATGACTGTCGGCAAAGATGTCAGGTATTTTCTAATTATTATTATTGTTTCCCTAAAATATTTGGTACCTTCTTTAGCACTAATGATTATAATCGTTACTGCATTTTATCATGTGTCATCCATATCCTGCTCAGTTACTGTTGCTTTATTTGAGTTTGACATACATTTCTTTCTCTAGAGAATCGATGTAATTTAATCTTTTTTAGTGCTTTGTTTCCGGACGTGGTAAACTGCATGCAAACAGATAATGTTGAATTGAAGAAACTAGTGTATCTCTATTTAATGAATTATGCAAAAAGTCAACCGGATCTTGCAATCATGGCAGTTAATACATTCGTTAAAGTTAGTATGATTTTTTTTATTGCATGAGCTTCATGAAGTCATGCAGGTACTCAAATGAATAATTCCAATTTGTCTTTAGGGTTATTAGGAAATACTCAAAACTTGAATTATTTACTATTTAGTTTCGTCAGTTCTTTTTTTGCTTACTATTTGTAGTACACTATTCCGTGCATTATCGTATTGTGGTATACTTCAAACTACAGATTTACTCCATCTACTCTTTTTCGAAATCATTTGTTTAGACCGTTTTTTTTTATCCTTAAAGGACTTCCTTATTCAAGGATTGCGAGGATTCAAATCCGCTGATCCGGGCTTTAGCTGTGCGAACAATGGGTTGCATACGAGTTGATAAAGCAAGCATTTCTTTGATAAACTAATTTGAGCTGAAATTTTTGACTTAAAATTCATTACTCGTGGCCTTTGAATATTTTTTGGAGAAACTAATTGGTATTTTACCAGTAACTGAATTGAATTTGTTTTCTAATTATAAGTTTTATAGATTACTGAGTATTTGTGCGAACCTCTGCGTAAATGTATGAAAGATGAAGATCCATACGTTCGTAAAACAGCAGCCGTCTGTGTGGCAAAACTGCATGATATAAACGCATCTCTTGTGGAAGATCAAGGATTCGTCGATTTACTTAATGATTTGTTGAGTGATTCTAATCCCATGGTTTGTCTACTTTTCTAAAATTTTTGTTCCACTCATTCATAAAAAGATTAAATCAGATAGAGCGAAGGGAAACTGTCTTTTAATTATTACATCTCAGTCCTGCATAATGTCATTTTTGTTGCAAGCTGCGAGCAAAAAGATTTTTTTTTATAGGTAGTAGCAAATGCTGTAGCAGCACTAACCGAAATTAATGAATCGCATGCACTGATTGAAATCAATTCACAGACTATCAACAAATTGCTAACAGCGTTAAATGAATGCACGGAATGGGGACAAGTATTCATTTTAGATGCTCTTTCTTCATATCAACCAAAAGATGAACGAGAAGCGCAAAAGTAGATATTATTATGAACTTTTTTTGTGATTACGTGGAAATGACTGTAGAGCAAAATTATCAAAGCTGTTGCTAGCTTTTACATCGAATGTGGCGAAATTAATTTCAGTTTTTGTGATAATAAAGTCTGGCATATCTTAATATTTTGTAGTTAATTTCATTCCTGCAAATACTGCTTCTTGTCCTATTTAATTTTCGACTTATTTCTCATTGTATTTATATGATTAGAAATTTGATAGAGATAAATGGTGCATGTGGGTATATTGCAGTATTTGTGAGCGCATTAGTCCCCGTTTGGCTCATGCAAATGCTGCGGTTGTCTTATCAACTGTGAAAGTTCTCATGAAACTGGTGGAAATATTGCCTGAAAGTTCAGAATTTCTCGGGCAGTTAACAAAGAAACTTGCACCTCCAATGGTCACCCTGCTTTCTGCTGAGCCTGAAATTCAATATGTTGCTCTGCGAAACATCAACTTAATTGTACAAAAAAAGTGTGTATTCCTATAATTGCAAAAATTGAGTTTTCGAGTTTTATAATGTAATTTTTTTGCATAACAAATAAAATTAGGATTTATTTGATCATTTTTTAGGCCTGAAATTTTAAAGCAAGAAATGAAGGTGTTCTTTGTAAAATATAATGACCCAATTTATGTGAAAATGGAGAAACTTGATATAATGATTCGTCTTGCGCAACAAAGTAATATCAATCAAGTGCTGAGTGAACTCAAAGAGTATGTTTACTGGGCATGATTTCAGGAGTTTTGGATTAATTTTTGTTTTATAAATATAGTTTTATAAATTAAAAAATAGAGTTTCGAAAGCTTTCTATTATTACACATTTACTATAAATTGATGGAGCAGATAAAAGAAAAAAGATAGACATTTTTAAATGTGAAACTAGCTTTTAACATCAGCATTATGTATTGTTTTTAAAGATGTTTTTTAAACGAAATATTTTGAATATTTTATCAGATACGCAACAGAAGTTGATGTTGATTTTGTGAGGAAAGCAGTCAGAGCAATTGGTCGCTGTGCGATTAAAGTAGAGCAGAGTGCTGAAAAATGTGTTAGTACATTATTAGATTTAATTCAAACCAAGGTGAATTATGTCGTGCAAGAAGCTGTTGTTGTTATCAAGGTTTGAGATTATTTTTATTGGTCTATGATAAAAAGAAACTTATGCCGCAGTTTTCATCGCTTATTTTATTTGGTCCAATGTGTTGTAGAATGCCCAGTTGCAAAAATTTTTAATGCTAAATTTTAAGTAATCTTAGCAACCTTTCCTGTTAAATAGTTTTTTGCCGAAGTTAAAATTTCTTTTGTGTCTGGTAAATTAAAGTTTCAAATATCACATTTCGGAATTAGAAATAAGTCTGATGCACTTAATTGATGTAACTTCATAAAAACAAATCAAGTTCAAAAATGCAGGATATTTTTCGAAAGTATCCGAACAAATATGAAAGCATAATTTCTACTCTTTGTGAAAATTTGGATACTTTGGATGAGCCTGAAGCTCGTGCATCTATGATATGGATTATCGGAGAGTATGCTGAACGTATTGATAATGCAGATGAATTGTTAGAATCATTTGTTGAAGGTTTCCACGATGAAAATACTCAGGTTAAATGGTTTTTTCTTTGATTCTTCTATATTTGTTTTCTCGAATGTGGGGTCTTTCGAACGCGTCAATGACATTTTAAAAAAATGGATTCAAATATTGTTGCAGAGTTAGCTTTCTTTCACTTCGTCATCTTTTTATAAATTTTCTTTAAAATCCTTCGTTTTTAGGTTCAACTGCAGTTACTCACTGCAGTAGTTAAATTATTTTTAAAACGCCCAAGTGATACGCAACAGCTTGTTCAACGTGTATTGTCTTTAGCCACTCAAGATAGTGATAATCCAGATTTGCGTGACCGTGGATATATATACTGGCGTTTATTGAGTGCTGATCCTGCTGCTGCAAAAGACGTGATTTTTGTTCAGTTCTCTCAAAACCTATAGCATAGTTTACAGAAGAAACATTGACTTACAAATCACTAAAGTTTATTTTTATTCATTACATTACTTGCAAAGATCAGTAAAATTTTGAAGTAACGAAATCTGTTTTCGCTAAAAAAAGATTTTTCTCAATTAGCATTTTGCATCACAATTTAAAATGTTTCAACTAATTCGTTACTGAATTTTGTAGCAAAATGTAAAGTGTCGAAAAGAACATTGGAGAAAATAAGGGTTAAATGAGTTGAAATAGAAGCATGCAATTTCACTAGTAATTTTATTACTAACGTTTCATCATTTTTATTAAGTTTCAAGTTTTCTAGGTTGTGCTGGCTGAAAAGCCACTTATATCAGAAGAGACAGATTTACTCGAGCCATCATTGCTTGATCAACTTGTTTGTCATATTGGTTCGTTGGCATCTGTCTATCACAAACCGCCCTCATCTTTTGTTGATTCTACAAAGCATCCTTTAAGAACCTCAAATATTACAGGGTTTGTACTTAAGGTTTTATGTTATTTAGCAAAATTCACTTCATTGTTTTATTTAATTCAAAATTTTGTCATTTTTGGTTGAGAAAAATACAAGAAGCATTTACAGCTAGCAAGTAGAATATGTTTGCTGTCATTATTCCACTCTTGTAAAATAGTTTGCATCGCAAATTTAGTCCCATTTTTTTGTGCATATCTTTTGCTATATACGATAAGGCTCATGATTTCAATCAAACTGAATCATTAAAAAACATATTAAAAAAGTATCATTTACTTATGTTTATTAAGAGGAATAACAAATAATATGAGTTTGCTCAACTAATTTAGAAGTAAATTGCACTTTTTTAATGATTCCGTTTGATTTATTTAATAAGCTTTTTTAATTTTCAAATTACATGGATCACTAGAAACTTATCTCTGTTGAAACAGTATCATTCTTAATGATTAATAATTCCATATTTGTAACAAATTTGTCATGTACAGAAATATTCTTAAAACGCTTAGCTCCTTTAGATTGCATCAAGCGATGACAGCAAATGATTCAACAAATCGTCCAAGTGGTGCGACAGAATCTGTACAAGCACCAACAGTGATACCATCACAAGACACGTTGATCGCTGATCTCCTGTCACTTGATTTATCAGCACCAACTTCCGGTGTTACTACACATGGTATCTGTTGAAAACCTGTATTTTCTGTTTATTTATTGTTAGTGATGGGCGGAATTATAAGAAGTTCTTCAGTAGAAGTTAAATATAAGCAGTAAAATTCAGAAATCGCGAAACTTCCTCTGGTGTTTTTTTTTACCTTGGAATTTGAAGTCTGTGCATAAGGAATATGTCGTTTATAAGATCTTTGGATTTCATTCCATCATTTGATGTATTAGAAGGAAAAATCAACTTATAAGAAAGGATCAAATAGGAATGGATACTTATCAACCAGCACCGATATCCTCTGGTTTGGACGACTTATTGGGTCTGGGATCGGATGGACTACTTGGTGATGTTGGTGGAATTGGTGGGTCATCACCACTTACAATTCCAGCTCAAATACCAGTGCCTAATGCAAGTGCTGATGGAATATTTGCAACTCTTCCACCTGCGCCAGCTCCTTCATTAACGCAAGTCTGTTTTTGTCTCAATTTTTATGGTTATGTCAAATAATTCATAAACGTGAATTTTAGAAATTAGCATTAAAAAAAATTTAACAACAGTTTTTAATTAAAACTTTGTTGCTTCTCAGCTGTCCTGTTGTAAATGATATTTATTAATTTTTAAAAGAAAATTTCCTCTTCTCATTGCAGTCAGTCCCATCGATTAATATACCGCCAGCGGTCCCAAGAATGACTCATGCTTCCAATCCGTTTGCCGGTCTAAGCGATCTTTTTAGTGAACCTACCTTGGGGACTACAGTGCTCCCC